TTTCTTCAAACTTGGTCGGAGCATGAGAAGTAGTGAGACACATGAACTTCTTGACCGAGGTATGAACTGCCATGTTGCTAGTGTGCAAAGAAGGTTCGTCTGTGCCTTCTTCATTTGAATCTTCCCAGGTTGCCTTTAGTGACTTATTCTTCTTCTTAAGATTAGCACACTCATACTGGAAGTGTCCAAAGCCTCGACACTCCCTGCATTGATCCTTCTCAACTCGTTGTGAATCGGGTTTTGAGAGTGGCATACTACTTTTCTTGTCCTGCACCACATTCTTGCTGAAATTGTTCCCCCTTTTTCCAGCAAATTTGTTCTTGTACAGCCTTTGACTCATCTTCCCATAGTTTCGCGTGATTAGAGCTAGTGCTTCTTTCAACTCACTATCGTCTGCCAACGGATCTTCATCGTCATCGCTTTCTTCTCTTTCCTCGACTACAACAGCTTTGAGAGCTAAGCCCTTACTTTTGACTTTGTCATAATTGTTGTTGATTTCAAACATCCTGAGCTCTCCAAGAAGTTCATCAACAGCCAACGACGCCACTCTCTAGAAACTTTCAAGAGCTGTGATTTTCTCCCTAAACCTGGGAACGACGGTTCTCATAATCTTTTGTACTTGACATTTCTCAGAGATTTCTTCTCCAAGCATCATACTTTGATTCACCAGATCACAGAATTTGACATAGTACACGTCAATTGTCTCTTCATCCCTCATTTTGATCTCATAAAATTCAAGAGTTACCCGTTGAAGTCTAGATGCTTTGAGAGCCGTTGAACCTTCGAATTGATGTTGTAGAACCCGCCAGGCATCTTTCGCAGTCTTACAATGAACTATCATCTTGTGTCTTGTTTGATCTACTGCCATCATGATCGCATACAAGGCACGATAGTTGGCTTCTTTTTGAAGCTTCTCAGCATCTGTCGTAGCTCCTTTTCCTTGATCGGGTGATTGTGACGTGACTGGATACTCCCAACCATTTTCAACACTTTCCCACACACCTTTTCCAAGCGATCGTAGGAAAATTGTCATCATAGACTCCCAATGAGAGTAATTAGAACTGTCCAATTGTGGAGGCCTAGACATCGATCCACTTTCTTGATTCATGATCGCACAGTAACCCAAGTCCTCAGATCTTTTCGTAATGTAACGAAAACCCTCTCTGGTGCCAATTGAAATTTGATACTTGAACACCAAGTATCCAGAGTTGCACGAAGATAGAACAAACAGACAGTAATGAAGATTCAAACAATTGCGGAAGCAATTTTCACAAAAATTTGAACCTTCAGGAGAGCGTCTCACTCTCCCTTCAGATCTCTTTCATTAATGTGAACAACTCATACATCATCCAAGGATATACAGTATAGACTCGCTTTACACTCTACTTGAATAATGATCCACACAACTACTTATCTGACCACAACTCCCTTGTGGATTTTCTAGTTCAAATCCCTCAAACTAAATCAGAATGAACCTCCGAGCATTATGTTCCAAAAACTTATGTGTTCTTAATATCACTCTTTATCACTCAAGGAAAAAAAAAAAACTTAAAACTCAAAAATTCCGGATTGAAAGAATCATCCTCAATTCCCGTCTCGTCCTCCTTTTATCTTCAGCATTTTGATAAGTCTTTGAGCCAAAGCCAACCACGTATATGGAAAGTGAATCCCGCGATCCTCCTTCTCTTTGGACTATGGAAAGTGTATCTCACTCTCAATCCCAAGGTCCTGCCAAAATGATAATACAAATAATTAGTCCTTTGACTTAAATAAAACCAAATCTTATTCATACCAAAAATAAACTTCCCTTAAATACTCCCGCATCTTTCTGGATCCTGTGATCGTCAGAAGGTTCATCGATTTACTGCCAATAACCAGAATTTACATCTGTGTTAAATCAAAATAAGTTGAAACTAGCAAAGTTTGTTGATAACACGACTCCATGTTTTGTACCCGCTTGTTGAACCGAGCAATATAATCCTTCAGGTTTTCTTCGACACCCCAAACGAGATTGGTGATGGATTCCTTTGCGATCATACAAACTTGAGGCCCAAGAAAATAAGTTCTGAAAATCGTCCTCAACATTTCTTATTGCTAATGGAATGGGAAACGAAGAGTAGTAAATTCAATAAAACATTCGACACATGTGTGAATCTCTGGCCCCATACAAGTCCATCCAAGATGTGTACAAGCCAATGTGAGCATTCAGGTGAGAGTTTCCATCATATAACCTGATTTGTGGCATCTTTATCTTTTCTGACAATGGTTCGAGAAGAATTATGGATGATAGGGGTGAAAGCCGGATATACAGACAACAGAAACAACTTCAGTGATGACGACAAAATCCTCGTGTCCATAAGATTTTACTCGGCTTTCACTTTTGCAATTTCCTTTTTAGGGTCGTGACTGTAGAGGTATCTTCCAAAATGGTTCAACTCATGCGACATTTATCCCTTAGCTATGGTTTAGTTCGACCATGTCCCAACCCATGAAACACTGATGGAGTGGTGGATCGAGTCTTCGCACCCACTTTCCCCAACCTCTTATATGCGTGTGCGAGGAGGGGTAATCTCTTTGTGTCTCTTAGGTCGATTATTGTGTGATTGTATAAGATTGCGATTGAACTGAGGCTTTTCTTTTCCGGAATCTCGGGAAGGGGATTAGTATCTTTTTTAACAGTAAATTTTGGAAGTGTTGATGGCGAAGGTAGAGTTTGTGAGAGTAGGCTAGAAAATTCTCTTAAGAAATCTATGTTTTAGAAAAGTGCAACAAAATCTAGGGTCGGAGTAGTGCTAGGGTTTTACTAATTTCGTTCATCATAAAGGGATCTTGATGGAGATTGTGACTCTATGAAGACATCTTTCTAGTAATATGTTGATTATTCCGATGTGGTTACACCAAATAACAGATGGTCCCATTATTCTCGCGTCAAATTGTTGCCCACCGAAATTTGATGCAATAAAAAAATAGTGTAAATTTCAGTAAATTGCATAAAAGTGAATCAAATTAACGTAGACTGAGCTGAAAAGTAACTCAATTTTTTTTCTTACTTATTACTTGAATGTCTTAAAATAGGGTACAATTTAACTTGTTATAACTGGATCCCACAATATACGTAGATGTTGTTTATAGAAAAATACAGTGCACATGTAAGCCTCCTGAATGTGGTAGGTGTCGGTCTGCATGGTAGGACGACATCTTCAAGTGACATGTGTCCCGACATAGGGGATAGTAACCATCTTGTCAGTAATCAATAGAACAACTGGATTACATTTAATTGGATGAGTCGATTACTTGACATTTTGAGTTCTGTTCGGCTTTGTGTCTGACGAGACATCTCGTCAGTGTCTTGTCTTTATTTGTGACTTTATTTATGGATGTACAGTTGGAATGTAGCATTCGGGGAACTGCTTTGTCATGCCAGTCAATGTTATGCCCTACAAATTAAATCTCTTGTATTGTACCGAGCCAGTTTTAAAATATTTCGTTTGTTCAGCCATTCAGGGCGATTCATTTTTCTTTATTTTTTTTATAATTAACACATGTCGCTTAGGAACGTCTCGACTAGGTCGGTTATCAACATATCCATATTGGAAGACATTACTAATTAGATACTCTTATTGATTCTAGTTCAAGTTGGAGAATATTTACGAACGACAGTACATCATATCCTATCCTATAAATGAAGGTTTAAACTTTGAAGTCCAATCACATACAATTCAAAAATTTCTTCAAAATTATGATGTTGACATTATATTGTCACCAACAATTACTCCCTATACCAGGCCAAAGAAGTTAAGTTGAAGTCATGGTTTTTATTTTCATTTTTTTATCTCCAACAATTATGATTAAACGTGCTCCTTTTTAATTTTTGGAACACAATAGTGATAATATCTATAACTTATATAGAATTGTTTGGAATAGATAATGATATGGCATCCAAAATAACTCGTGTGAATCGGCTAGAATGGTTTGCTTGGTTCTGGTCAGTTCAAGAGAGCTCAGCCTATTTTCAGTACATATACCAGTCAAGGAGTCCTCACTTAGGCAACTCAAGACACAACTAAGTCCAGTCCGGATAGCTAGGAGGTCGTAGATCCTGAGTAGCTCAAACACTCGAAGGAACCTCATAACCCGTAGGTCGTAGAGGTGGATGTCGTGGTTGCGATCTAGGTACAACTCACGACATGTATCTACAGAGTTCGGGGTAAGTTTGAAAAGTAGATACTGGAGGATCTCCTTTCTAACCAGGACTCTTTTAGTCATCAAGCTACCCTAAGCATATACAGGTAACCATCTTCTTTTACTCGACACATCGCATACACATACATTGAACTTACATACTAGTTTTCTCATGAGCAATATACTGACTCGGGCATCAGAGGCTTTTTGTCAAGACCTCACCCTTGCGTCTTGCAGGTTATCAGAGTCCCGAGCTGGTGGTTGTTCGTGAAATCGTGTTTCAACCCAGTTCAAGACCTCACCCTTCACGTTGTAATTTTGGTTTGATGAAGATTTAAGAACCAAGGTAAAGCTTGACATGAGAATGATTTTCCCCCTTCCAGCCGACCAAATATCGTACTAATAAATGAGAAGAGCTGGAATATATAAAATCTTTCGGCTTTCCCTTTGCCATGGAAACATACAATGTGAAATTCAGCAACAGAATCATGACTTGAGGCAAATCACATTAAAATCAGCCTCCAAAACATTGGTTCCATATCCAGTTGAATTCTTTACAGAACAGAAACGAATTCTTTACAGAACAGAAACAGACAAGACAACGTTATTTATGTTCCAATTACTGTGGTTGGCACACTACTAACTAGAATAGTAGCATAACCACCAGAAGAGTTTCAAAGAAAATCAAAAGAGGCAATACAAGACATGAAAATATAGATAATGTGTATCATTTCAACAGAAGATTGCATAAGTTATTATATTAAAGCTCTGGATTTTTATTTTATATTACTTTCAGTCTCGGATGGAAACCAACATAACTAGCTATTTGCAGCAGCCTGAAAAGCTTTTAGGAAACTCTCAGGCGGTTGGCCTCCGCTCAATTGGTACTTCCCGTTCACCTGCCATTGAAAAAACTTAAAGTTCATTCTTTAAAATACAACTACGCTATTTTTATACATATTGCACCTGTTGAGAGTGCTAATTTGAGAATGGATTATTTTTGCAAAAAAAAAGGAAAAGAGAAGAGATTATTAATTTGAGAATAGTTAAAGAGTGACTCACCACATAATGAGGGACTCCACTAATGTGGGCCGAGTGTTGCTCGATTTCTTCATTAACCTTCAAGAGAAAATATATATTTGATGAGGAATTGGAGATCTTGTTACATAAGTTCAAAAGAAATAGCACTGTGTAGTTTACGAACATTAAGACGAACAATTGTAAGAATATAGACCACTAAATGAAAATGTACGGTTCACTTTCATGTACAATTAACCATGAGGCGTTGCTCGTAAATTTTATTTTGTCGTTTTACCTCCTTTACCCCGTTGTTTGGATCTTCGAGAAACTCAGCTGCTCCTTCAATTCCAACCTTTTTAGCAGTCTCCACAAGAAAATCCCTTCAAATGCAGAGAGGCAATGATAGTTTTTTGTTATGACAATCGAAGATTATTCAATGCCACTACGATGTAAAAAGTAAATGATTTCTAAGTAATGACAATGTTATAGATCCACGACTTAAAAGACCAAAAGAAGTTTCAAAATGACATAAAACCTTAAAATTCAAACAAGAGCATAAGGAGTGTTTCTGAAATAATTTAAAGGGGTGGTTGTTTGTAAATATCCTTAATAAAGATATTCTTCCAAGGACAAATAAGCAAAGGCCTAAAAACATGATGTGAAAATAAGTAAACAAATGTAGTTAATTGCTCTCTGACAGACCTGTCACCTATGTACTTTCCCTGCGTGAAGTAGCCGAGGTAAAGCTCTTCAACGAGTTTATGTTGCTTGTCGAGCCCTTGTTTGCCTGCAAAATAGATTAACTTGTGGCTGTCCAGAGTGTTTCCCCTACATAAGAAAGACACGCACACCTTAAATTATAATGATCTAAAAAAACACCAATTTTATTTTCAATAAAACCTAAAAGAAAAGCAAATTTATGTTAAAGAAAAACAAACTTTCTATTCTAAATAAAACCTACAACCTGGGATGGAGCCGGAAGAGGCAAACCAATGGCGAGTGGGTACAGACACGTTCGTTGTTTGGTAATCTCAAGGGTAGCTCTCATCTCTTGAAGAATGCTTCGAGTTTCTTTGAGTTTCTCGTCGATTTGAGCTATTTTTTCGGTCTGCCTTTTCAGTTCTTCTAGAACTCATTTTATCGGTATGGATATTAAAATTCGTTTCACCTCGTTCATTCTAGGTGCATCCACCAGATAGTTCTTCACCATAGCCACAGTAGTCGAAATAACAACTGACTTGATGATAGCATCAATGGCGCTTCCCGTGCCGTCGGCGCCGGCGCCTATACGCGGTTGTTCTTTGTTAAGTGGTAGAAACTTCTGGGAGTGACAATGGGGGTAAATAGGGTTCACAACGCGCGGTTAGACGCATCAATTTTTTTGCATGGGTAGAAACTTCATGCTGGAAATGAAAATGGTGTAGAGGTATGTTGAAAGTGGATGTTGGTTAATGGGGAGCACATGGTTTTAAGTCCGAGATATTAAATGCATTATTTTCACACAACCTTTGATCGTTTAAGTCTAAAAAACAATAAGTCATCATCTATTTTGCACCTCTTTTAATTAACATTTAGTTTAAAAAACAAAAGAGTTATAATATATTTTCCACGTCTTTTAATCATCATCCATTTTCCACCTCTTTTAATTAACGTTAAGTCTAAAAAACAATAGAGTAATAATATATTTTCCACGTTAGCGAGAATATTAAATATGAACATGTTACGGCTGACTTGTAAAATAATTAATATATTATCTAACTACTAACATATTTATACTAATATAAATTAGATTTTAGTATTATATATTTATTCCTTGAGTGTTTGATAAGACAACCCTAGTCTCTTGAGGTCAATCAGTCTTTCATTTACCGCATCTGTTCCCATTAACCAACATCCACTGTCAACATACCTCTGCACCATTTTCGTTCAGCATGAAGTTTCTACCCATGCAAAAAGAACTGATGCGTATAACCGTCGGCACCGGCGCCGATGTCGGCGGCGACGTCGGCGTTGTGAACCCTATTTACCCCCATTGTCACTTCCAGAAGTTTCTACCACCTAAGAAAGAACAACCGTGTATAGACGCCAGCCCCTGCACGAGAAGCGCCATTGATGCTATCATCAAGTCAGTTGTTATTTCGACTACCGTGGCTATGGTGAAGAACTATCTGGTGGATGCACCCAGAACAGACGAGGTGAAACGACTTTTAACATCCCATACCGATAAAAGGGGGGAAGAACTGGAAAGGCAGACCAAAAAAATAGCTCAAATCGACGAGAAACTCAAAGAAAATCAAAGCATTCTTCAAAAGATGAGAGTTACCCTTGAGATTATCCAACAGCAAACGTGTTTGTACCCACTCACCATTGGTTTGCCTCTTCTGGATCCATCCCAGGTTTTAGGTTTTTTATTTAACATAAATTTGCTTTTCTTTTAGGTTTTATTGAAAATAAAAATTGGTGTTTTGGATCATTATAATTTAAGGTGTACGTGCCTTTCTTATGCAGGGGAAACACGCAAAACACACATAATCAAGTGAAGGACATTTGAAAGCAAGTTAAAGTGCTCGACAAAGTAAGTGAAATGCACTTGAGGATTGAAGGTTGGTGGTGTTTGCAAACGGAAAACGAGTGCTGAATGAGTTCCAAAGAGAGTGCTTTGTTGAAAAAAAGTTACAAAAAAGTGCTTTCAATTTCACTCAGATGTAAAATACTAAACATAATCAAACTTCATACCCCTAAACCATTTCTATAACCGCAAATTATATTTAATCATAGCATGCAGATATTAAAACTGAAATTCACATTTGTAATGTAAAATCTTCATTTGTGAACCGGGACTACTAATATAATAAAACTCACGTAAGTCCAGAAGTGTCGTACTCCAGTCCAAGGCCCTTAAAAATCTGGGAGAAATGACAAGATCTGTAATTATGTTTTCCTCATATGCCATCAAGAAAAAATAGAAAAAAAAAAAGGAAATGACAGACTAAAAAACCTCCGTCATTCGCGCTTCCATTTGTGCAGCTCGAGGCCCAAACTTGTTAAGGTAAAATTCCTTCTTAACAACCCCTTCTTTAGGCGCTGAAGGATTAAGCATATAAGGATGCCATTTGATCTGAGATATAAAAGAAAACGAAATCGTATCCAACCAATTTAGAACACACGATGGAAGCGAATTATAAACAAATTGTCAGTACTATTTTTGGACCTCAAAAGCGTATCGATCATCTGAAGAAGATATAGCTTTGTCCAAATTCTTTTTCCCCACAAAGCACCACGGGCACACAGTGTCCGCACTCACGTCGATTTGAATAAGTTTCTTTGCGCTGCCACTATTAGATGAGGCCATCACGACGAATCTGAAATATTATACAACAAATCAATTAAATGGGACAAATATATAATTTACAAAAACTAGTCTTGAAGTTTTAACTGCATTAGAGAAAAAAAAAAAAAATAAACTCAAAGTTGGTGATTATTAAGGAATATCCCCCAACAGAACACTTTGAAATCAACTCATTAGTCATTACTTAACCTTGCATAACAAGGTGGTATTCTGGGTTTCAGACAAGGGGGAAAAATTAAGGTCTGAGAGATTTTTGTTTTCTAGCTTTGGCAACTCATTAATCTAAAACCTAACAATTATTGGGGTATTCTGGGTTTCAGACAAGAGAGTTGTCTATGCCGAGCAGAGGAAACACATGATTTGAATTTTGTAATGTAAGAAACATCAATTGTGCCGTGCAATGGGGTTGTTGTTGTTATCCTTTACAATTTACATTCATCCAAGATCTGTGACGCTTGTAACTAAGATCAAGAAAACAGGAACTAAACAGAAAAACGCATTATTAGACCAACTAATATCTTCAGATTAAGGTTGTTACCTGGGAATTCTGGAGACAATCGAAGAGCATGAAAATGTAAACTAACTTCCCTCTTCCGAGTTTCGATCTTGTGAGAGTTGTGATGATATACTCATTTGACTTTGAATAAGAAAAAGGTTGTGATACGCACGCAGCACTATTTAGAGCATGCTTGGATATAAAATTTTTTGGTTTTGTTTGGATTTTTTGGTTTGGTTTGGTTAATTTTGAAAAAAGTGGTATGGTTAGTTGTTAGTGGGTATATTAAAATAATATTTAAAATAAAATAATTAAAGTTGATTAGATTTAAAAAGTAAGAGAGAGAAGTTGAAGTGATGGTTAGTTAAAATTATATGAGTGGATGAATAGTGAATTAAGGTTGTATGATGTGTATAAATGATTGGTTGATATTATTTAATTATAGGAAAAGGTTGATGATAGTGAGGTTGAGTTAAAATTGAGTTAAAAAAAGTAGTTGAGTTAATACTATATACTCTCTCCTATTTTCATTATTGGTCGTTTTGAGAAGCATCACGTTAATTAAGAATTTTTTTCTTGTCAATATTAACCTTACTAGTACAACGTCCGTGTATTACACGGGTGCTTGCTAATTAATTCTTAAAATATAAAATTAATGAGAAAAATTAATTGAAAATTTCAATACCTTTTATAAGCATATATATATTATTATATATTTAGTATGACACTTTTTTATTTGTGCGACTTACCTGTGTTATATTATAATAATTTTTTTAACTTACAACATATAATTACATTAAACATAAATATATCAATTGATAAATAATTTTATTTTTCTAATGATTTTTAATAAATATTGTTATTTTTTATTATTATAAAGATAAATAAAATTATTTATTTCATATATACAATATGATGTCAAATAGAAGATCATCAAAAGAAGATTAATTAGATATATCATATATGTAAAACTGATATGAAATACAAAAGTTATCAACTTCTAAAATAAATTTACAATTCAATAGCTAATTGAAGGAAACAAATCAAAAGTCAGGGATATATTAGTCACTTAGTGTCTCACTATATAAAATTACAAAGAATTAAATGGTTATATTAGTAAAAGTGATATTAAAATACCTATGTTAGCTAAATAATATTTATGGAATGTCCGAACCTAAATTATTAATTATTAATATATTAATATTATTTGTCCAAACCGAATTACGAAGCATGATTCTTCGCCAAATAGGATTCCGAAGCACCAGAAACAGCCACGTAGGCTCAGCGCATTCGGGAATTATATATAGGGGCCTCGTTTACTAGAGATGATGTGATTAGACAAATTAATCCCTCCAATTTGCCACATCGGATTTTGGATACAATAGTCACATGTTTACTAAAGTGGATAAATATCTATGATAAATAATAAAATTACTGATTTAGTTAATTAAATTATAATTTTTATAAATTAAATGATATTATTATAAATTAGATAAAAATATTTTATATTAAAAATATTTTTTAAATTAAATAAAATTAACTAAATTAATATTTTAGAGATTAAATAATATTATTTTAAATCAAATAAAGGTATTTTAGATTAAATAATTATATTTTAGATTAAATTAAATTATTTTAAATTTTATAAAATTATATAAATTAATATCTTATAAATTAAATAATATTATAATTAAATTAAATTATTTTATATTAAACAATATTTTTAAAATTAAACAAAATTATTTAAATTAATATTTTATAGATTAAATAATATTATTTTAAAATAAATAAAAATATTTAGATTAAATAAAATTATTTTAACTTAAATAAAAGTATTTAAATTAATATTTTATAAATTAAATAATATTACTTTAAATATTATTTTAAATTAAGTTAAATTATTTTATATTAAACAATATTTTTAAATAAAAAATATTTAAATTAATATTTTATTAATTAAATAATATTATTTTAATTAAGTAAAATTATTTTAAATGAAATAAAATTATTTAAATTAATATTTTATATATAAAATAATAGTTTTAAATGAAATAAAATTATTTAAATTAATATTTTATAAATTAAATAATATTATTTTATATTAAAAAATATTTTTTAAATTAAAATAAAATTTTAAATTAATATTTTATAGATTAAATAATATTATTTTAAATTAAATAAAAATATTTTAGATTAAATATGGGTCATTTAACACCAAGGATAATTTTATCATACCATAATGGCCGGATTTTTTTTATCCCGCCAACAAGGATACATATCCCACCATCTCATGCTATGTCATATGTATCCTTATCTCAATCCTATTTAGTAAACGAAGGATAAAGTTGGTTACCCAACCTTATCCCATCCTATCAAGATTAGTAAACGAGGCCAGGGAGAATTTAATAGATGTTATGGGAACAATAGAGATGTGATACGAAGAGACACTATGTATTAAATAGAGGGTTAAAAATGGAAAAATATGAACAAAATAGTCAAATCGACATTTATTTAATCAATGATCAATTAAACCAGGATGACAAATAATAAAAATAGCAGGGAGTATAAGGTTATGAAAACTGAACAGGTAAACGTACGAGTTTAATGGTTCACTGGTCGGACCAGTGGTCGAACCAATTTAATTAATATATAATTTATATTTATTTTATATGTATAATATATAATAATATATTTTTATCACTACTTTTATCTGTGTATATATATATAATTCCAGACATATAGCATTAAATTAAACATATTAAATTATACATATGTGGCAAATCTCGCCAAAATATGTTATTGTTCACTATTATTTTATTTTATTTTTTGTAATTGCAAAAACAGATCAGGTTTAGTTGTTGCTGACTGTGTTAAAATAGGCAACAAATCTCATTGACCTTTTCAATGATGTAACCGTTACAAGTTGAAAGTTGTCCCATTATTTTTTAAACAATATAATGAGTGGCACAATTATCAATAATCTTTTTTATTCAAAACCTTGACTTCGTAAACACAATTTTTAAACTATTTTTTCATTGTTCAGTTTAATTATTAATTATGCTAAAATAAAATGAATAACTGTTAAAAGAATACAACACATTTACAATATCAAGAAAATCACAAACAATAAATAAACTAGTACAACTCCTGTGTATTACACGGGTGCTTGCTAATTTTTTTTTTTTTTTTAAATCTAAAATTAATGAGAAAAATAGTTAAAATTTAAATACCTTTTATAAAAATATATTTATTATTATATGTTTAGTATGACACTTTTTATTTGTGCGACTTACATGTGTTATATTATAATAATTTTTTTAACTTACAACATATAACTATATTATACATAAATATATCAATTAAGAAATAATTTTATTTTTCTAATGAATTTTAATAAATATTATTACTTTTTATTATTATAAAGATAAATATAATTTATTTATTTCATATATACAATATGGATGTCAAATCGAAGATCATCAAAAGATGATTAATTTGATATATTATATATGTAAAAACACAAAAGTTATCAACTTTTAAAATACATTTACAATTCAGTAGCTAATTGAAGGAAACAAATCGAAAGTCAGGCATATATTAGTCACTCAGTGCCTCGCTGTGTAAAACTACAAAGAATTAAAGGGTTATATTAGTACAAGTGATATTAAAATACCTAAGTTAGTTAAATAATATTTATGGAATGTCTGAACCGAGATTATTAATTATTAATATGTCAATATTATTTGTGCAACCCTAATTACGAAGCATGATTCTTCGCCAAGTAGGATTTCGAAGCACCAGAAGCAGCCACGTAGGCTCAACGCATTCAGGAATTATATATAGGTGGGATGTCCTCCAACATTAATTTGTTCCTGCAAACACGAAAAAAATAATTAGTAATTTTTTTTATTTCAAAACAAATGTTTTATCCACATACAAAACCATATCAGTCAGCAATAATTGATACCACATATTAGTCACAGTGTATATGCCTTGAATTATTCACAACAAAAAATGTTTTAGAACAAATTAAAAGTATCCCTTATGTTTAGCCACAAATAAAATCTCTAATTTTCACGAAATATGCACAATTTACAATTATAATTGTTTGCAATTAAAATCTTCTATATTGTATAACAATATATATAGGTATTCAATTCATTCTATTACTACACCAAATTGAAG